GAGGTGTGGGCCAAAGGTAAAGGAAATAAGAGCCCCTAGCTTGGTTAGAAGGTCTCTTCCCATAAGGGGAACCGGACAATGGGGAATCACTAAAAAGGAATGAGAGAGAGTAATGCCCTTAAAGAGGCAGCGAAGCATGGGAGTTTGTAAAGTTTGATGAGGTGTGCCCTACCCCCTGACTACAGAGGACTGTGAGAGGGAGTTAGGTCCCAAAAACTCCTTCAGGACTGAGTAGGTGGCCCCAGTGTCCAAAAGGAAAAAGATGGGCCTACCTGCTATCACAATGGTTACCCTGGGCTCCTGTACAGTGGTGTTAGTGGTTGGATGGAGGAGTCCCAGGCCCCCTCAATCATCAGTTGCCAGACTCAGGAGGTCTATGTGTGGAGTGTTAGAGCTGGATGGCCTGGTACCTCTCGGTGTGCGAGGAGAGTCAACAGCCCAGTGTCCCTCCTGATGGCACTTAGGGCACAGACTGGAGGGCTTCCAGGGATTTAGGCAGGCTCTAGCCCAATGACCCATTTGGCCACATTTGAAGGATGGACCAAGAGGTCCTCCTGGCTGCTTCTTAGGAAGTGAGGATACCCGAGCACCAGTGGTTGGGGTAGGTTGGAAGGCCTTAGCCAGCATTTGATATTTTTGTTTATGGGCCTTTTCATCTCTTCCATTATATACTTTGAAGGCCACTGCCAGGACTTCTGCCTGAGGAGTTAAGGATCCCTTCTCTAGACGTCTAAGTTTAGCCTTAATGTTGGGGAAACTCTGGGTGAAGAAGTAGGTCATTAATAATTGTCTCCCATCTGGGGCCTCAGGGTCTAGGTTTGTATACTGTAAAAGAGCTTTGGTGAGGCGGTCTAGGAAGATAGAAGGATTCTCATTTTTATCCTGAATAACCTCTTGGAGTTTTTCATAGTTAATGGCTTTATTGGCTGACTTCCTGAGACCCCCCATGAGGCAGGTGATGAATTGATCTTGACTGGTGACTCCCCCTGCCTTGTTATAGTCTCAATTAGGGTCTCAGTCAGGAACCACCTCAGCACCAATTGATGAGCTGGAGTAGTTTGGTGAACCTCATCAGGATGAGTTCTAGCCTGTTCCCAGACTTGCCTACACTCCTCAGGCAAAAGTGTGTTGGATAGGATCATGTGAATATCATGAAAGGTAAGATCATATGACTGAGTTAGGTACTGGAACTCTTTTATGTAAGTAGCTGGGTTGGAGGTGAAAGAGCCTCATCTTTTCTCAATTTGAGATAGGTTGTAGAGAGAGAAAGGGACATGGACCCGGACAATGCCCTCTGTACCGGCTACTTCCCATAGTGGGGCTAGGATCTGGTTCAAGAGTGAGTGACTGGAGGGCTTGGTGCGGGACTGGGTGAGGGAAGGGGAACTGGTTGTGGAGGAGGAGGAGGTGCTGCGGCTCCTGCACCAGCACTAGGGGAGCTGGGAGGGTTGGGATTTTGATCTTGCAGAGAAGGAGGTTGGGGTGGGAGAGGAACTGGTGGTTGAGGGGGAGCTGTAGGGGTTTGAGATTGGTAGGGAGGAGGTTCATCAGCAGGGTCAATGTCAGAGGACGTGGGAATTGGTGGGTGGTGAGGTGAAGTTTTTTAGAGCAAGAAGATGTTTAGGATTGCAAGGGAGACAGATGGGCTTGGTTCAGAGGTAGGAGAAAGCCTGGATATATGGGATCTCTTTCCATTTGCCCATGCTCTCACAGAAGTTGTATAAGTGATGGAGAATTTTAGGATCTAAAGAGCCATTGGGAGGCCATTTAGACTGATTGTCCAAGGAATATTGTGGTCAGATCTCATTACAGTAGCAAATAAACTTAAAAGGTTTGAGGTCTAGAGTGAGGTGGAGGGGTTTTAGATTATTGAGTAAGCACCCTAGCGCTGAATCTGCAGGAATGGACAGGCCAGATCCCATGGTGTGAATGAGACCGTTCACAAGTCGCTGAGGCATCCCAGAGCAATTGAGAAGGTCACGGAGAAGACCAGACACAGTTAGGGGGTCGTCACCACCTCTAACTGAGCAGTCAAGGTGAAAACGCCAAGGAGGCTTGGTACCTGGTACCAGTTTACGAGTAGATAAAGGGAGACTGGGCCTCAGTGAATGAGGAGTCTCACCATGGGGAAGTAGAGAAGGGTCGACTATGGGGATCAACTGTGACTCTGAAAGTCATGGTTAGGATTGCGCCTGACCCCGGAGGAGCCCTTGGGGGTGCCAGACACACAACAGTCACTTCCCAGGTCTCAAATGGACATTTAAGTTGACCATGAAGGGGAGACTTACCGAATTGAAGGCTGGTGTTAGGCAAGAAGACGAGCGACCAGGGAAATGGACAGTGAGCCCATGGAGGGGGATCAGGCAGTGAGGGTTCCCAAAGTATCTCAGATTCCCAGAGGAAGAGCAAAGCCAATGTGAGAACCTCATCCGAACTCACGGCACCAAAGAAAGGGTATCTCACCACGACCCTCCTTACCCCAGAATGACTCAGGAGACAAGGGCCCACACAAGAGATTTTATTATCTGAAAGAGAAAAAATGCTGCCCCCAGAGAGAGGGAGCAGCAGCTCATGGGTGAGGAAGCATGTTTTGAAGGAGTAGGGGCAGGGTGTGTTCTGCACTGGTGATTGGATCTTAAGGGGTGGGAGACCATCTGGTTGGTGGTGATTGGATCTTAAGGGGTGGGGACCATATGGTTGGTGGTGATTGGATCTTAAGGGGTGGGGGTCTTAGCATGTCAGAATTTTCCTTCAACAACCACTCTGCAAAACAATTTATCAGTTTCTTTAAAAGTTAAACATACATCTATCATATGATCCAACAAATGCACTCCTAGATATTTATCCAAGAAATAAAGGAAATATATGTCCATAGAAGGACTTACACACAAATGTTCATAGCAGCTTTACTGGTAATAGCTCAAAACTAGACACAACTCAAATGTCCATCAACAGATGAGAGGATAAATTGCAGTACATTTCTATAATGTAATACACTCAGGAATCAACTACTGGTACATAGAATAACATGGATGTATGTCCAGATAATGATACTCAGTTAAATCAGACCAAAAAAAAAAAAAGTCTGATTCTACTTACATAAAACTTTAGAAACTGCAAATGAATTTATAAATACAGAAAGTAGATCATCAGTGGTTGCTTAGGTATGGGACACATGGAAAGATGGTAGCAAGAAATTACAAAGGGGCATGAGGAAACTTGCAGATACATATATTCACTTGATTGTAATGATGTTTCAAGGGGGTATACATATGTCACATCAAATTATATACTTTAAATATGCCCCAATATTATGTGCCTCAGTAAAGCTGTCTTTAAAAAAAAACCCGCAACTCTGCTGTCAGATTTTGAGGGGGGCAGAAAGCAAAAGGAATGGAAATCTCAGTTAAAGGCCTCAGTTGAGGTTTGTAAATTATCCAAGTATGTAAGGAATCCAGCTAGTCAGGCCTCAGCATAGTTTCATGAACTGTCTCCCTGCTGTTCTCCAGAAATGGTGACAACCACCACTATTTGATCTGTTTGGGCAGAATGATCCAATCAGTATAAAATGAATTGTCTTTAAAGAGACTGTCAGTTAAACATATAATCCACATTTCTAAACATTTTAAAAGGGTTATCTACTTGCAGGATAGTTTTAATATTGAAAGCGAACTTTTGCATGTGAATCTTAATATAGATATACCAATCTCTCAAAGCCTTGTTTCCTCATCTGTGAAATGCCATAAGAAATAAGAAAAACCAGGACACAAAAAGAGTAGGCTTTGCTAGAGTTATTAATTCCTCCTTTTGGGGCAGAGGCTCTTTCATTCCCCTCTGCTCTGAGAAACATCCACTTCTCCCCATCTTCACCAGCAGCAATTATCACTAGCCATCCTGAGAGAGGTCCAGGAAGAAAGCTCCTGCTGTAGCCCAGGCTGACCATCACATTAGTCAAGAAGGCATCTCCACGAGTCTCAACTGTGACTGAACAGGGACTACACTGATGTGCGGGGCTGGCCTTGAGCTCTCCACATTGTGCTCTGGAGGGTGGGCTTCAGTTTCCAGTATTATTTGTTGAACAGCTAGATGGGGAATATCGCAACAACATACCCATTTCTAATTGTGGGTGGAGGTAGTTTTCCAAGGTGGCCCACATTCAGGAACAGAGCCACGCAGCCTTTGACTCTTTAAGGGAGTACAAAAACTAGGGCCTACCCTAGAGGAATGGTGTTTGAGCACACACAACCTAGTATTACATAGGTCTAGCTTCATTTTCCAGCTGTCACTTCATGTGCGGGACTTTATTATTCTCCAAAACTCAACTTTTAATCTTTACAGTGGGGCTAAAGCTACTTAATTTCTTTAAATGCCATTAACTTCCATTATAGCATACTGGCCAATTATTACCGTTAACACTAAAAGTGGAATTTAACAAGCTAATACAACGTTTTTTCTAAATATGTACTTAAAAGCTTGAATAATTACAATTTGCTGAGAAAACAAAGTTTCCCCTTTCTGAATAAGGAATTTGATAAAATCTAGAAACAAACTGAAGTATGGTCCTTAAACAGTAGAAACCTCTAACAGCCTAGCAGGTTTGCCAACAAAGCTCCGCCTCCGGGAAGCCCAGCCCGCTTCCGGCAGCCTCGCCCACCCACTAACACTGGCACCCCGCCCCTCACACGAGGTCCCGGTCCCTGCGCCCCGGATCCGGGTTCGCACTGGGTAGATCTGACGCTGGATACACACCCACACCCGCACGTTTGGCGAGGGCGTCCTCGCGCCTGCGCAGGAGTGCCGTCAGGCGCAGGGCACTGGGGGTTGGGGGCTGGGGGCTGGGGGCTGGGGGTAGGGGGGCGAGGTCAGGCTGAACCTATCGCCGTAGTGAGAAGCTACGCGTCCTGCGGTCCTGGCTCCGTGGGTCCGGTCGGATCGAGCCTGGGCGCTGCAGCTGCTGTGGCTCCCGCCGCGGCGGGTGCGATGGAGGCCATGCCGATGCGCAGCGCTCACGCCGGAGCCGCCGAGACAGCCGGTGGTGCTAGTAGATGAAGTGGCGGGGGCGCAGCAACGGGTTCTCCATGAGCAAGCGGCGGAGGCAACGGGTGCGGCGGCACCGGTGTTTTTCGGTCCCCGAGGAGGTACGAAGAGTCGGCTTCCTGGCGGACGGAGACTGGCCGGTGTGGGAACGCCGTCCAGATCCCGGCTCTGAGCCCTCCGCCCGCAGTCCCAGCTCAGTGGTACCACTGCTCGGAGGCGAGCAGGAGCGCCCAGCGGCCCCCGACTCCTGGCTCGGGGGCCCTCCCGCCGTGCGGGGCAGGCCTTGGGTGCCGGGCCTCCCCAGGGGCGCTGGCCGGGCCGAGGTGGGCGTGGCCCGAACGCGGGGGACGAGGAGGGCGCCGTCCGTGCCCGGAGCCCCGCGCGGTTTGGAAGCGGGGCGCATGCCTGTTTCTCAGATTATATTCTTTCTGGATGCTGACTCGAGAGGGGAACCTTAGGTTGCCCCAGCTTTTAGGGAGTTTGGCATTCGATCCCTTGGGCAAACGGTCTGGTCCTTACGACCGGTGTGATTGTCCTTAGAAATGACCGCAAAAGAAAGGTGTCCTTGTGCCAAGGAAATAGAGGTCGGGGGAGTTTTCCAGGTGTATTCAAACTGGAGGGCCTGTTGAGGCAGGGAAAAAAAGCCAGCGGGATACTTTCTCCAGGGCTTCTAATACAGAAATAGTGTTTTCGACCATGTAGCGAGAAAAGTTAAGACAATTTTAAGTAAAGCCCTTTGCAGCCGTTTTTCCATCTACTTCAGTCATCTTTTTTTATTTGTAATTTACTTTAGAACAAATCACGTCTTGTCCTCCGATCCTCTCTACCAACCCCCCATTTTGTTTTTTTCCAGAAAATGGCTAAAATAGTGTCATTTTTATATATGTATAAAATTGTAGCTTAATTCTCTTAAGTATAACTTTTGCTTTATAGAGCTGTAGTTAACTCATTCAGTCATGTCTAAAAGATAATTTGAAGAAAAAATAGAGATTTTATTATTCCTTTCCAATGCAGTATAGGAATCTGAACTCTTATGACCTTGCTACAAAGTTCTGTAAAACTCAACAGAAATAAATTAGTGCATGAAGAAAGCGGTTTTCATTTTTAAAGTGCTTGAATGCCTTAACGATTATTTAAAAATCTGCTCTGGAAACATGTCAGTTCCTATGAAGAAGAACCTGAGCTGTGTTTTCCTAGACTCCAAGTTTGCCACGCCCTCTTATTCCTAAGTGGTTGACTAGAGCCCAACCTGTTACCGACTGTGTATAAACAGCTACACTTCAGACTAAATATAGTGTTGAATATTTTAGAGTCCACAGTATCCTGCTCCATGCTGAATATACTGTGCACTGTGTGTGTATGTTTAATATATCTTAGAACTGAATTTTTAGTCTGTTGGTATTGAAAAGTCCGTTTGAACTTAATTTCTCACAAAAAACACATAGGTCTACAATATTGAGTATTGGATTCATGCTATGCTTGGGAGGATGTGGCACTTGAAAATATAGTCAAAATAAGACACTGACCTCAGTCACTAACTTCCTGTTCCTATTCCTCAGATGCTTCCCTTTTTTCAGGGAAATACACTTTTCCATAAAAGTAACATTGGGAAACCCTATGATATTTTTAATATAGGCATTTCTTTGTCCCAAGTAACCCAATTCCAATTGTTTCATTAGAACGTCATTCTTTAATTTTTTAAAATTTTGTTCCATGTTACATACATATGACACAAACATATTTGTTACAGTACTGTCAGTGACTTTAAAACAAAATGCTTAGCTGTCCCGAAGATTGAGGGAAGGACAAGTGCCAGTTTAAATTGGGAGGACATAATAGTTCATTCCCAAATGTGCAGAAGGGGAATCAGGATACTGACCAAGTTCTGAATCCAATTTTCACAACATGACCTCAAACTATAGGATATCTATCATCACCCTAAACTGCAAATAAAAAAGTCCAAGTACTAGAAATGATTTTTGTATTAGCTGTTATAATCAGTTAAGTTCTGTGTTATATTCAGTTAAATTTTCAACAATTACTTTTCATATATTGTCTTTCAAAGATAATTAGCCACTATTCTGAAGCCCAACTAAAAATTCCATTGTATCAGTTTCATAAGTGGAACATATTAAGAAAATAAAGCACAGATTGTTTATTGGAGGAAGAAAGGTTTACATTGGGACTACACCCAACCGAATTTATATTGTATTGTTCAGTAGCTTTATTTTCATTTAGGATTTTTTTATTACAGGGTTTTTGTATATCAAAGGTAAAATCTGCGGTGTAATTAGCATAAAGACCTATCAAATGGCCATTCTGCATCTCAAAAAAGTTTGTAGCTTCTTAAATGGTCTTTCCAGAGACCATGGATATTGCCAAAAAGTTGCTTGTAGCTTGTTTAAAATTTTTTTCTTACACGGGAGGCCATGTAACCAAATTTAATTTGAATATTTAAATAGCTGTATTTTCATTTAAACATACTCATGCATTTAACATACAAAATCACAAATTTACATGTTCTATTTTTAACTTTTAAAATGCAGGATGAAGACACTGTTTGAAGAGATCAAAGCATCAATTAAAAATAACTATAACCAAGATCGCTCATTTTGGAGGCCTGTTCTTCCCTGGGGAGGTGTTTTTACTATCAAAGCTGGCCGCAAAGCAGTATCCTGTACACCACTGTACGTTGAAATAAGACTGAAAAATACCTGCACCATAGATGGATTCTTGATGTTATTATATGTAATTCTTAATGAAAATGAAAATTTCTCCAGGGAACTCTCTCTTCATTTAGGTAGAGAGTTTGTAGACTGTTTTCTTTATTTAATGGACACGTACAGTTTTACAACTGTGAAAAGGGAACTCTCTCTTCATTTAGGTAGAGAGTTTGTAGACTGTTTTCTTTATTTAATGGACACGTACAGTTTTACAACTGTGAAGCTACTCTGAATTTGGGACAAGATGGAAAAACAGCAATACAAATCTGAAGTTCATAAAGCTTCACTAATAATTGATTTGTTTGGGAATGAGCATGATAATTTTACAAAAAATCTTGAAAATCTCATGTCTACCATACAGGAGAGTTACTGTTCCAACTGGCGATGCCCCACTCGAGTGCAAGAAGATCAACAGCGCACAATTAATATAAAGTAAGTTACTTTGAAGTCTGTTTTGTCACTTTTAGCAAAAATAGTATACTTTTAAATGAACATTGCTGTAAGTATGTATATATATATAGTCAGAGTATTTCTTAAAGTACAGACCCTGTGTAATTACACATAAAGCAACCACACAAATGCAAAACTCTTTAGTAGGTCTCATGACAAAAATACCGGTCTGGAACATCCAAACATCTTAGAATTTACCTTACAAAACCAATTGAAAACTGTTTTACTTGGCAAGAAATGAATCATTCAGCATGCAAAATATTTTACTCTTGCTTTGAATTTGCTAATATGAGTGTGTAGATAATTCCTTGTGTCTCAAATTTAAAATTCTTGTAGAACACTTAATATTATATCAAAATGTTTCACCCCTTAATCTCTGTCAGATAGGCAGTTCTATATGAACAAGAAGATTGAAATTATTTATGTCATGGCCAGAGCAAAATTACAGACGGATACCTTAAACTTAGTATCTGAACACCTGGAAAGCTGTGAATGTGAGGAGCTTTTTCACTTACTAGGAAAAGTGCTGATAGCCTGCTGAGTATTTTTGGCTTTCAGAGGGAATGCAGACCTCCAAGCTAGTAAATGCCACAGAGGAAAACCAAACTGGCAAGCCCTATCGAGTGTTGGGAAACATTAAAGCCTCCAGGAGACATGAGCTGGAAAAGGGATAATTGCCAGTAGGGAAAAAACACCCAAACACATTGTGTCAGAAAGTGTAGTTGGCCCCCGGTCCAGAAAAACAGCCCAATAGATTGTTCCCTTTTGGGAACGTGCATCACATACCCTAACTTACTAAATTCACATTTCTTTTTAACATATTTAGTTGAGTATTATAACATGCTATTTATGAAAAGCTGAAGAAATTTTTTAAAGTCGACCAATGAATGTTCTGAAATAAATTTTGTCTATTTTCCTGTATGCTGATATGATGATGTTGATTTTCAAATATCCATTGGGGAAAAAGTTCTGTTGCCTCTAAATCATAATAGACTAAAAAGCATTTCAGAAATTTGTCTTTTTTTGAAAACTAGTATCTTTTAATTTGTGTTTTAAAACTTATGAAATGTTTACAATCCTATATTAATACTGATAGGCTTCTCTTAATAAAATATTTTCATTCATACTCTGTAACTTTTTAAGGCTTTTGCCAATTTTTTAAAATCCTATATATAAAACAACCTCTGAAGTATGTAGGAAAGAATTTTTAACAAGCCAGGTAATGAGGCTAACAATGGCTGTAACTGGCCTTGATCAGGTGACTATCTAACTGGGTGCTCTCCTCATTCTGGGTCCTACTTCCTTCCCCCAGACCAGAATCCCCTCTTGAATCATCTCAAAAATTTCTTAAATAACTGCATTTCAGGATGAGTTTACAGAAAGATTTGGTGTTTCTTGGAAAGCTATATGCATTAATGTTTATCACTGGTTAATGTACTATCTTTAAAATACACAGGTGAATAACAGGTTTTTTACTTGATTTACTAACAATGAGTTGACCTATAAAGTTTGTTATCCTGATTATGTATTTATATGTAAAATGTTGAAGCAATTCTTCCATGCATTTTATAATTGTTGTAGTCCTCCCCAAGAAATACCACATGGAAACTTGATACGACTGGCTGTGGATGAGTTATTCTGTTCTAGGATTGAACTGTGTGAAGAAAGTGGGTGAGTATGTGATAGACATATAAAATGAAATTATTTCTATGTTTTTTTATGAAGAAACCTGAACCAGTATGTTCTTTGATGTTAATACTTGATGAAATAGCATTATAGTATTCCTCATAAGTATTTAGGAAGCCTAACATTTTTGGAATCTTAACACCTTCTAATTTACTGTGCCATCTTATACTCTTTGTTGTTACCAAACATCACTATATAAAATATTATACTACAGTTAATTGATGAATGCAAAGCAAATGCCTTTTCTTTTTTTCCCCATTGCTGAGTAGGTACAATAAAACCTTGGTTAACCGGAACCCAGCTTATCAGGACCCTCAATTAACTGGATTTTTTTTCTGCACTCCTCATTTAGGAGAAAGAGGTAAATGACAACCAAAAAATTTAGCATAGTAAAAAAAAAGGTTCAGAGGGGCAAAACTTAATTTATCCCAATGCCTTAACAATTTCTGTATCTACAGTATTGTACAATGAGAATATTTAGAAGGGTGGTCCTACAGCTAATTAACCTCAAAAGAAGGAAAGAATATGTTCAGTTAATTGTACATAAGTCCAGCAAGTGAACTAATGTATTTTAGCAATAAGTACTGAACCAAAATGGTTTTGTGATTAACTTAGTTTAGTCAATTATTTTTGTTACCCAGAACACTGTGCCCTGAACATTCCGGTTAATTGAGATTTTATTGTATAATTTTATTTGTTGTATTCCGATCCAAATGCTTAATACGTGATATTACTAAGGAAACAGAATTTGCTTTACCCAAATGGCAAAAGGGAATTTTACACAGTCTAAATAAGATTGTAAGAGTCTCATTATTCCCCTCTGCCATTATTTTCCTTGGAAACCAGTTTAGGGGGAAAAATATATCTCCAACTAAAAGCTTTTGTATCAGTTTGAAAGACTACTTACTTTTATAATCTTAGATAAAAATAGCTAGCTTTTTCTGGAGTTTTAAAACTATTGTTTCATGTGTGTAGAATTTCACAGCTTATAAACTTCTGGAAATAAGTAAATAAGGTATTACTATAGCTATACCACTACCTATACCTAAAATAGACAGTTATGCTTATTATGAAATTAAATAATGAAGACAAACCAGAAATGATATAAGGAAGCTTTGTCCCAAGTGTATTAATAAAGTTAATGCCTATTTCCAATTTTAGGTGTAGTGGCTTAAGAGAATTTTCCCAACGAGTTTTCTGCCATGGGGCACCCCCTTTTGTTGTCTTAAATATGCAGCATTGGAAATCTGAAGACCTGGCATATGTACCCTATTACTTGGATTTATCTGATCACAAGTAGGTGCTGTGTTTGTTTTATAAAATTAGTAAAAGTTGTATTTTTCTGCTATTCTATCATGATTTTGACTAGCTCTTTAGGAAACACTGTTGAAAAAAATAGCTATCTCTAAATGTATGTATCCTGAATAAGATCAGAATCTACTACAGGGGATCAGTCACTGGCAGTGTTGGTGATTAGGTGTTTGCACTATGGAATAGACAGAATTGGGTTCAAATCTCTGCCCCACCTCTGCAAGCTGTGTGACCTTGGGACAGTAACTTAACCAGTTTACACATCAGTTTTCTTATCTATAGAACAGAGATGACAGTATCTCTCTGGTGCCATTATTGTTAGGATTTAAAGAGTTGGCACATGTAAAGTGTTTAGGATAGTACCTGACACATAATAATACTGGCTATTGCTTGTATTCCAAGTCAAATAGTGTATAGTTTGACTTCATCATTGAAACATAAAATGTTACTGTCATTGTTCTAGATGGAAATACTTGCATAAAAATTGTGATGTAGAGGATTCTTTTAATTTATTGCATTTAAAAGTATTCTTGTGTGTGTTCTCTTATTTAATAGAACTAAACAGCTTATTTTAATCTCTTAAAATATGTTTTTTAAATTTCTTAAGTTAAAAGTTTTTATAACTCTTAAACATTTTACTCCAAATTACCAATTATATTGATTTTTTTACAGATGAATATCTTTTTCAGGGACTAGACTACAATCTCAAGAACTTAAGAAATGTTTAAGAACAGAGTATCATAAGTTTCTGCTATACTTTGTCATTTAATTTGCAGGTATTTATTGGAAGGTGCCACATTATTTAACAAAGAGGAACATCATTATTCTGCCGCTTTCCAGATAGATGGACATTGGATGCACTATGATGGCCTCAGAAATGTGAATTTAATTTTGTTAAATAAACCCCCAGAGTTTCTTCTCTTGTCATCATTGGTTTATATTCGAGCAACAGAGAAATAAATATAGACTGATGCTAAATTAAATTGTTTTCCTTGGTATCCAAGGAAACAGTTCAACTATACTAGTTTCAGGGGTGTGTTTTCCAGTATTTTAGCCCCACGTAAATGTTTTATATAGAGAATCTATGCAAAAATGTTTATATTTCTTTTATCTACATCCTGGGTTATTTTTATACAAGCATATTTTATGTTGAAATAAAATATATCGTGTAGCCTTTGTATTTTTATTTGTAAGTACCTCAAAGGTTTTTTATAATTCTATTCTTGAATCTAAGAAAATACTTGATCATTTGAATTCTCAGTTTTTTTTTTTTGATATCCAAAGAAAACCTGAAACAAGTCAGTATTTCAGTTTATAAACTTAACAGTTCAAAATGTATCTGACTATATTTCTTTGCCCTACCTCACTATAATCCGAAGTGCACTATTGGACCTAGTATGGACTTGAATGTATAACTTATAGATGTCTTAGTCTGTTTTACCTTTTGATTTGCCTAATTTCCCTACATCAATTTTTAAAAACACTTTGGTGAAAATGTTCTTCTGGGCTTGAATTATTTCTTTATAATGACAAATTACTTTAGCCATTTGCTAAAATATTATAAACTTGCCAGTATTTTAAGTGGTATTTAAGCCCTCTGTTATTGTTAATGGAAGTTATTGTTACAAATAAGTTATATAATTAATGTAAACATTTATCTCATAATTAAATATAATGGAAATTCTCTACTAAAAATTATTTTGCAAATACAACTATAAAAGATAATAGGCAACTGGATGTTTACTAATGTTGGATTAACAATAGAAATGTACTTTAAATATATATTTAAAAGAAAATGGGTGCTCAAAGACCCTAAGACTTTCTTCCTTTTGCAATTTAAAGGAAAAATTAGGTAATATTCCCAGTAGTCCATCATAGGTTCTGGGTTGGAGCTGAGTGTAATATATTTGGAGAGTTTACTTAACAATACAGTTCACTGCCATATACAAAATTGCTAAGGTTTAAGTCTATAAATTAAGTCTTACATTGGTTTGGTGCCATGCTGAAATAACTTTACTAAAGAATGAATAAACGTGAGTACAGTGTTGCTGAGAATGACTCACTTTGAGCAAATGCTATGAAAATTCTTTTTTACGCAAGATAAAAAATAGTGATGTATTTTCAAAAAAAAAAATCACCCCAGGGTTGATTTAAATAGTTCCTCACTATTTAATGTATTTAAATAGGATTTGATTTACAATAAACTTTTCTGGGACATTTTATTGCATGAATCAAAGTATACAAAAACACAAATATTAGGATATACACAAATGATGTAAATAACAAATTATTCCTGATGCAAATTTATTCTTTTAGGAATTGCACTTTATTTGGAATAACACTAGTTTATCACAAAACAATGACTTACCTACCTCACAGGGTTGTTGTGAGGATTAAAATGTTTGTTAAAATCTTGACTACTCTTAACATGCTAATAAAAAAACATATTTTGTCTACTTCTTTTGTGTACATGTAAGTCTCCCAGATTGTCTCTTACTAATGAACTTTACAGACAGTAGCCCATATCAGTAATGGGTTTAATGTGTAATAGGATTTAAATGTGCCTTCTGGACCCCGGAGGGTAGGGGTTTAAGAATAAGTTTACTGTTGTGGTGGTGGTTGGTTGCAAGAAGAAATTATCCCTTGCTGACCAGTTAGAAAAGGAGTGAATAAGAATGAACTAGACTATCTGCAGGATGTGAAAGTGAGGTTATGGAAAGTTCTTTATAATCTTAAACACCCTTAGAGAATTCAGAATACTGTGTGAGGGGGCACGAATATATGTTTAATCAAAGTGACACAATCTACAGCTGTATCTACACAGAGCAAAAATGATTTAAAAACCCTGGCCTTAATCATAGTGGGGTAAAGAACAATTAAAGCAAATTTAAGTAGGAATCTCCAACTTCTCTTCAGCCAAAAAAAACCTCACCCCGCCAGCTTAGCAGTAAGATAAAATCTTAGATTTATCCTTCGAAGTAGCTTTTCATTATTAGGGTTGATTTAATATCTGATTTCAATGTGCAATCAAAAAGGAAGAAAAACAACTCTGACTACCATGGGCATGCTTACTAGGGTGAATCCCATGTTCTATTTCATAAGCATATGAGCAAACAAGTATATTAGATAAGTACTATGACACAAACAAAAGCTGTACGTATTGAACAAATCAACAGTTTAGTTTTATGGTTAAATGATTTAATTACATGTATTTGAAAATAATTGTGTTAAGTAGGCAGAAAGGGTAAGAAGTTCATGTAAAAGTAACTGAAGTTGGTACTAAACTACAATGAAAATACACATTTTTATTCCTCTCATCTTTGTTAATGCTCTTAACATTTAAAATCAACATCAAATTCCCTTGATTTAAAAGGTAAAATAACATAGCTTTTGAAGTTCATCTTATTGACCTCATGCCGCTTTAGTCAAGGGTTCCCACTCACCCAACAGGTGCAGGGGTCACTATCTGGTCACCAGGAAGCCATTAAAATCAAACAATTTGATGCCAGGGAAATTATGACCTTTTCCTCTATCTCCAGGATGTTGAAAAGGAAGTTAATGAGGCGGTCTCTGGAGCTAGATGGTTTCTTTATATGCTGACAACTACCTGAGGATGAATATTAGATTAGTTAACCAAATAATCAGCCCATAGACCATCTGTTTTCTCAGTGAGGTTGTCTGCAAAGAAAAAAAGAAGTTGCTTGAAAATGAAAAAGTGGGCTCCTCTGGCAAGCCCCTTAAAAATGATGTAGAAAGGGGGGTGGAGCCAAGATGGCGGCATGAGTAGAACAGTGGAAATCTCCAAAAACCACATATATTTTTGAAAATACAACAAAGACAACTCTTCCTAAAGGACCAGAAGACACAGGACAACAGCCAGACTACATCCACACCTGTGAGAACACAG